TGCTAGATAAAGGGGAATCCGAGCAGGAGGAATTGGATTCTTGCCCCAGAGTCGTCCGACCGTGCCACGCGTCCAGAGGACAAGGGGACTATCTTTGAAACCTGTGGTAGCTACACTCGCCCGCACGCAAAAGATGGTGGAACATAACGTCCCAGAGATCGTGGGCACAGTAACGCCGGCTGAAAAAGGCTTTTGCAGGACAAGGATAGGAGGTCCCCACATGATCAGTAAAAATGTAGGAGAAACCGTCGAAAACCATGAGAGAGACGATCCATATATATAGAACAGTGCCCTACAGAAAAAGGGACTAAGAGAACATTTTTCATCTATGTACACTTTACAAACAAAACACCAATCCTTGTAAGGGCCCAATCCCTATATTCCGGTTGTATACATCAGAGTTTCAATATACAAAATCAAAGAGCAAGAGACTCCATTACAATGGACCTAACCTTAGTCTATTGGCTAAGGCAAACCACTTATCTTATGTGCTTTCTCTTTCAATAGATAATCCAATCTTCCAAACCCACTCACATACCAGACCCAATAACCTCGCATACGTTGGGCTTGGACTGTAATTTTTGAGACACCATCAGGTTTAATCGTTTGATAAATTAATCGTGATGATGCACAAATTGGTCTCGTGCAAGATTAACAATCAAGTATATGAAGAAGAGGTGTATTTAATGGACAATAAATAAAATAATCAATGACAAAGTAGTAAATATAAGTAAACACACAGATATATAGTGATTCGGTTCAGGTGACATACTCCAATCTCGAAAAACGACAGTGGTGGCCGGAAGCCTTTATTGATAAATAAAGTAATCGGGAGAGAGCTCCAAGAGAGTTACAATAGCTATGGGAGAAACTAAGTGTGTAGAGAGGTGCCAAGGTGTGTTGAGATATGTTGTGAGATGCCTCTCCATACAATATATAGGTTTGGTGAGGCGGTGACATGAGAAAGAGGGCATCACCTCTTTGGTAAGTACAATTAAAGTAGGGTTGATCTTCATGAGTGCATATCTCGATATTCTCTCTCCCATGTACTTTTATCTTCTCGGCACCTCGAATCTTGGATTTGGTCGGATTGATAAAATGAGTTTGGGCTGCCTTTTAGTTGACTTGGGCTTAATTGATTTATTGGACCTGACCCAGTCGGTTTTAGGGTCATCAAATCAGACTAGTTGTATTATAAAAAATAAAAAGTATAATAAATAATGATGTATTTATTAAAAAATTTGAGAATTTATGAAACCTAATAGAATATCAACAATACATAAATGAGAATTACAAATGGCATAAGTAGTAATATTATCATGATAAAAAAAAAAGATTAAAAAGATTAAAAGCAAAGCTATAAAACATAAGAGAAAATGACCATCAATACATTCTTAACACCATTCTCACATCCGACAAAAAAAAAAAAAAAAAAAAGCACTATACTGCAATAAAATGTAAACCTAAGCTGGGCCGACCTGCCAGCCCTGTCCTATTTTAATAAATAATGATATCAATGCCTTGGTTCAGGTTAGGAAGGCAATTAACACCGACCGAAATAAGTGAAAAACTAACACCCACCGATGTCTATAAATAATCTGTGGTCCTTTGTTAAAAAAAGGTACCTGCAAAGTTCGGACTTATAGCTGGAAAAGCTTCACTTTGAGTACAGCTGGCAAGCAGTATTTAAAGCCTCTGGCAAGCAGCATTTAATTGTATTCGTATGAGAAAATGGGATGTCATTAATTTGTATATACATATTTAGTTATTTTTATTGTATGCATATTAGGTTTTTTTATTTATTATATGTTATTAATTTGAAAAAAAATTTACTTGGCCTGCAACTAACCCTCATTTCTTTCTCAGCGACTAAGTATATATTTGGTAACGTTTTTATTTATATATTTTAAAAAAAATAAAAAAAAACATAAATAATTTTTATTTTTTTTGTGATAAATTAAAACATAAAATATATTTAATAGTCATTTATATTTAAAAAATTATGAAAATAAAAATAAAAACATGTTTAATATTATAATATTTCTATAACACATTGTGGTTGTTTTGATTAATTTTTTTAATCCCAAATTAGTTGCTCCTCAAAATATAATTGAGGATGCACCATTTGCTCACCATCGTCTCCACCATTCCAAAATCCATTGCCAATGCCACCGAAAACCCATCACGCAACACCATCGAAACCTATCACCCAACCCACAAAAAACCATAGTTTTAAAATCTGGTCCGGATATCAACCTAGAAAAAAGACCGGATCAATAGGTCATTAGTTCAACCGTTGGGTTATTAATCGAACCAATAGAATAATAAATTAATTAATAATAATAATAAATATGCAACAAAATAAAATAATTAAAAAAATAAAATACTTAATGTATATTAGATCAAATAAAAATTTCAAAATCATTAAATATGTATGCAATGCATTCAATTTCTAATAAAATTTGTAAATTTAAGTAGATAAAAATACCACTCTGAATACGGATGTGAAAGTGGGACCACTAAATTTTTTCAATCTCAGTGAAGTTATATGAATATTCGTCAAATAGTTGGTTGTGGATTTAATCAACTAGAAGTGTTTGCAAGTATAATGTAACCACTGATCTCTTCTTGCTTAGACCATAAAAAGCCTATATGATGGATAAACTGTAAAAGCATTTCTCCACATAATCCTTAGAACTCATGTCCATTTCACTATCCTTTTAATCAAAATCCAACCAAAACCTATCCTCGAACCCATAATTCCGTTTAATCCCAATATTAAATTTCATCCAAACTCCCAACCCCAAAGCCCTCAAATTCAACAAATCGAACACTTCACGGTCGCATATGTAGAAAAAATACACATATCTACATACACGGACAAAAACTCATAAAGGAAAGAAGCAGAGAGCAAACCTACCTGATGAATTGGAGGGTACATAGAATTGGTGCAAACAGGACATTCTACTACCAGGCTACCATAAGAGCAGATCGCAGGACCGAGAGAGAGAGGCTGGCTGAGTCTTTGTCTTCGTTGTCGAGGGAGGAGACAACGATCCGTCGACAGAGGCAGAGGCCTGAGTGAATCAGATCAGAATCAATTAGGGCAAAAATACTCAAAATTTGGGTGTTTATATCATTTTTAATAACGCGGCCGGTTAGTCCCAATTCGTCCTGTTTGAACGGTTTCGTAAACAATCGGCCGGTTCAGTGAGTTATAAGCGACTTTCATGCTTAACCAATTTACATAACAAACCGGCCCGGTCCTGTAGGTCAACCCGTCGGACTGGATTAGGTTTTAAAACACTACCGAAAAATTTACCACCAATACCCTTGAAAACCCACCACACAACAACCAAAAACAAAAAAAACAAAAAGAGAGAGAGAGAACGAGAGAGAGAGAGCGTAGAAAGGATGGGAAAAAAAGGGGTAGTGAAAGGGGAGGGGATTTTATACTCAATCAGAATCTCATTAATCCCAATATGAAGAGCTCCTATTTTTATTTTTAGGTGTTTATGAAAATACTTTTTTTTTTGTGTTTTTATTTTTGGCCTTATTTTTAAAACAAAATTGCTAAAAAAATAGAAACACATCACAAACATATTTTTATTTTTATTTTTGACAAAAATAAAAAATTGGTGATTGTTATGTTTCAACTTGATTTAATATTCTTAAATACTACAAAATTTAAATGAAACTCAAATATATATCATCTTTTTAATAAGTGGGTCTTATCAATTTTTTCTGTAGAATCCACTCATTTCACACTTTTTTTTTTGAGAAGAGGGGAACTTGAACCGTTGTCCTCAAGAAAGCCAAACCTTTAAAAAATAAGGAATACCATTGGACCAAAGGCTGTTGGCACTCATTTTATAATCATCCAAAAGGGAATATATGCATTTGAGTTTTAATTTTTGGGTTTCACTTAGGTTTCATTTGGGTTACGTAACATTTTCCTTTATTGAATGTTTGTTTTATTGGCTACTTGAACTTAAAATAATGACTTAATTAATCACAATTATTGAAGAATAATGTTAGATGAACTTAAAAAGTAAATTTGATAATCACATCCATTAATTTTGTTATTGGTCTCAATATCTATTGGACCCCACTAGCTATTCAATAATTACAATTATAGTTAATTGAATTGAAGGTCTAAAAAATATGAGGAATGTCTCATTTTGATTCATAATATTTCAATTATATTATTTTGGTCTATGAAAAATGAAATATATTTTTATGTACTCCCTCAAACAGACAATATCTAAATTAATAATGATTTTTTTATCGTAAATTTATCACGTGATAATTAAATATATAAAAAATAATTTGGGTAACTTTTGACTAAAAATGTGTAATATAAAAAGCTCTTGACCAAAATTTGAATATCTTATGATAAAAATTGAATAATTTGGGCAACATTTTGACCAAAATTTGAATAAAATTTGATCAAGAGTTATCAAAATTATTATTTTACCCATATTTAAGTATCACGTGACAAATTTATAATAAAAAATTATTAGCAATCTGAACTCTGTCTACTTGAAGGATCACATATAAACATATTTAATATTTTATAGACAAAAATGTTGCAATTGAATTATTAAGGACCAAAATGAGACAAATTTCATATTTTGGAGACCTTCAGTGCAATGAACCCTTCTAATTATCAAGTAAACATTTTAAGTACACATTTTAAATCCAAATAGTATTTCACATTATTGAATAAGTAATAGATACCAATAAATATTGAGATTCACAGTTAAATTAATGATAGTGATTGATTAAGTTAATATTTAAAATTCAAATAGCATTTATTATCGAAATAATGCTACTTAAAAGATATCTTATCAAATAAATTAAATTTAAGATAATTATAAAACATCAATTGCTTTCGAATGAATGATGAAAGGATGATTAATACCTTGACTGCACATATGAAGAAAGATATCTGTTGACAATAACATTTTCATGCAATGCTTTCGAATAAAAAGCGTAATATGGGTCAGTGCTAATAGCTGAAAATTAGTACCATGTACTGTTAAAAAAGATGTAGTAGTCCATTTTTCGTACTTTATATGTCCATATGTTATTGGATGTGGTGTAATAAAATTATAAACATATTCGTTAACTTTTATGGGTTGAAAGAAAAAAAGATTGACCCTTATAATTAAATTGATTTCACGTAAGCCTCCAGGGTAGCTCAGAGTAAATATCTATTCATTAATGTTATTGGGACATTAGCATAAGATTCTCTCTCACATGCAGATAAATTAAAACTGTTGCCGGGTCCAAAAAGCACCTTTTATCAGTGCGTTTCTCATAAAGGGCCCAAACAAGCAGCGTTATAGAACAAGAGAGAGAGAGAGAAATGGGGCTGGAAGTCATCACCGTTATCAAAGCATATATGGAGGGAGAGATCAACAACTGTATCAAGGTATATCTTTTAGCCTCTCTGTCTTTATTCTACTGCTATGTTGCAGGCAAGATTGTCCCCAAAGGAAAGCTCAGACTTTTCTCTCTCATCCCTGTGGTATGTCTCAATCTACTTTTCCCTCTCAATCTACACACCATGCACCTTCAAGGCTTAACTGCTTTCTTCATAGCTTGGCTCGCCAACTTCAAACTCCTGCTCTTTGCCTTTGGCAAGGGTCCGTTATCTGACCCATTTCTCTCTCCTCCCCTTTTTATAGCACTTGCTTGTCTCCCCATCAAAATCAATGAAACCCCTTCTCCAAAGCCCCTAAAAGACCATAATAAAGAAAACCAATCTCCCAAAACCTCCCAAAATGACCATAGTGAACAAAACCCATCTCCCAAACCCTCCCAAAAAGGCCTAAAATCAATTTGGAATTATGCTATAAAGTTTCTATGTATAGCTATTTTGCTCCGTTTGTATGGTTATAGTGAGCATTTACATCCAAAGCTCTTGTGGTGTGTCTATAGTCTCCATATATACTTAGGTTTGGAAATTTTACTAGCCCTAGTGGCAGCCCTGGCTCGAGCCCTGTTGGGCATGGAGCTTGAGCCACAGTTCAATGAACCCTACCTCTCAACCTCTCTCCAAGACTTCTGGGGTCGAAGATGGAACATAATGGTGACCCGAATTCTACGCCCGACTGTTTACGAACCTGTGCTCCATACTTCATCTCGGGTCATAGGCCGAAAATGGGCTCCACTTCCTGCCATTTTCAGCACATTTATGGTGTCCGCCATAATGCACGAGCTTATATTTTATTACTTGGGTCGTACTCGGCCCACATGGGAAATGACGGGGTTCTTTTTGCTCCAAGGTGTCTCATTGATGGTTGAGGTTGCAATCAAGAAGGCATTTTCCTGCCAGTGGCGGTTGCCTTGGATCATCACGACGCCGTTAACTATCGGATTCGTGATGGTTACCGCGTTTTGGCTGTTTTTTCCTCCGTTTTTGAGGTGCAAGTCTATGGATAGAGGATTTGCAGAGTACGCAGCAATGGGTTCATTTGTGAAAGATGTTTGCACGGCTTTAACGTTCAAGTCTCTCAACAATGTAACAACAGTTTAGGATTTATGGTTACACTCCATATCACCTATTGTAATACTTGCGGAGAACTCGTGTGATTTGGAGGAAAAAATAAGAAATAGGTATTTTCAATAGAGATACCATGTTTTCTCTGTTGCTTTTTGTTGTTTTATACAGTAAAAAATTAATACAAACACTAATGCTATTGAGACATAATTGAAGGACATAATTTAGAGACATAATGAGTTGTCACCAATAAAATGATAGTAAAATTTATTAAATGATGGGTCTCATTGTAACATTAATGAATTCATTATCATATCATTGGTGATAACTCATTATATCTTTAAATTATGTCTCAATAATATTGCTCTAATACAAATAATACTTATTAAAAGATAGAAATTCAAATATATGAAAATAATAAAATCATGATATAAAAATATAACATGGTTCAATAAAAATTCAAAGATAGAAAAATAATAAAAGCATGACATAAAGGTATAACGTGGTTTGATGCAATATATTCTCCCAATATATTATACTTACATCGACTAAGAATTTATATCGATGTATTATTCACTAAAAAATTAATCTTTTGATAATTGATTACATAATTCTTAACCCTATTTATATGAATAAAATATTTTAATTCAAACCTATTCACATACAACTTGATCTTTATATTTTCCTTCATTCTCATTCGTAACAATTAGAGAGTTTATGTCAAATTCTAACTTTTTTACTAAAAAGTGTGTTATCTAAGCTACTCCAATGTGACCAAGTTATGTTTTTAGATACTGTAGGGTACATAACAGTTCACATGTTTTGAAAATTCATCTATTACACATATACAAAATACTTAGCATTATTTAAACATGTTTCTACCTATTGTTAATAGTTCGATTACGCCACGGAAACTAGCAGGAGAGACATTGTGTGGAATTTAACATCCCACATCGTGGAATTATATGTACAATATGCAAGTATCTATTTTTCTTGACTAAATCCAATCAAACTTATTTGTGAGTAACTTGAGTGTAGAGTATTGACAAAACGTGGAATGTTGGCCTAGGAGTAGTTTGTATTATGAAGCTTACGTCAGCGTTCAAACGTTATTGTTGTTAAGATATCTCAGCTCTTTTCAAAAAGGAAAAAAGAAAAATTTATTTTGGCTCTATTGTAAAATCTTGAGGGTACAACTGCTTCCTCATTATATGAGCCAAAAAAACATAATTATTCTTCCATTTTTTTTTTTTAAAGCAGCGAATTACAGTTTGAACATCAAAGATTTTAAATTTTTTCTATTTTATACCCTCAAAAATAAAGGTTACATTTGGTAACCACCAGCTTTTATTTTCCGTTTTTATGAAAATAAAAAATAAAAATGTGTTTAGTATTTATTTTCTTTTTTTTTTAAAGATAATGTGTTTTTGAAAACAAGGTTCAAAAATGAAAACAGAAAAAGTGTTTTCATAAACACCCAAAAATGAAAACACTTGCACCCCACTTTCTCTCTCTCTCTCTCTCTGATGCTTAGAAAACGTCTAGAAAGTGATTTTTTTTTCGTTTTCAAAGTTATGGTTTGAGGTAAAGTTTTCATGATTTCATGATAATATTCTCTTAAATTGATCTCATGTTTTTTACTTATGTCGTCGGCCCTAAAGAAATTGAGGGTTTGTAAAGTTGATATTTTGCGTTGGACTTGCCTTTGTTTTATGTCGATGGCCTTTGTGTTTTTTTCTGCTCACCATTGATTGAATATTTTCTCATTTCCTTGGGGTGCATTGGATTCCAAGATAGCAGGATTTGAAGAAGAGAGTCTGGGAATGAATTTCATGGCTACAATTAGATTTTAATTTTTAACTACTTAATTATGTGGAAATAGTTTGCAGAAACTTTTCATTACCATAACTCGTGGTTTTAGCAAGCAAGTTAGATTATTTGGGTAGAATATTTTTAATCGATCAAGATTTTGATTATGCGGGTAGTTAATTAATCTTTGATTTCTCTCAATTGTCCTTTGTGTGCATGTGTCTCAAGTGTGTTACATCTGATTTAACTTTTCTTTTATCTTCTAGTTTGGGTTCGTGCATTCTGTCAATGAAGAACACCCACGATTGAGCAATGAGTGGGGGCTGTGAAAATTAGATTACAATGCCAACGTGCGATATGACCATTAGTTATAATAATTCATAGTTACAATATTTTCTTATTATGGTCGTGTTTTCTTTAAATACATGTTTTGATTAAAAATAAATCTTTAGCGATCTGAAATGCAAAAAACTGAGGATAAATTAAGTATTTGAAATCTTTTGTCCCTTATTATATAGGTAGGTAGGATTGAGAATTTATCCCCGCATGTTTCTCGTTTTTTTATATCAAAAAAAAAAACATCATATATTTTTATCACAAATTGAATCATTTAATTTAGACATTGTTTATGTACAATTATATTTTGAGAAAATTTTGACAATTTTTAAAAAAAAAATAATTGGTATAAATTAATTTTAAATTATATAATTAAAAAAAGAGAAGGAAAGAAAAATTGATAGTCGAATAGTGGGACTGATTTTTTATGCACTTAGAATTTTATATTGCAATATGTCCTCATACACTGGTTTTGACTTGTAAGATTATAAAATGACCATCAAATCCAATGTGTCCCGTAGAAAGACAGACAATATTTACCCCAATTGTCTGTGCAAGGGGGGCATCTGATCATCGGCTAAGTGTGGCTCCGCCTTTTTTTAAGGTGGAGAAAAAGAGAATGAGAATATTTGCCGAGTAAGATACCATTCCACCGATGGGAGCGGCTCCTTTGTGGTAATCCATTTATCACATGATATGCGGTTAAATGGAATGGTGGTGTTTCAGATATTTTTTGCATTTTTTTTTTAATCTTTCTTACCAACGTCGTTTTTTGCCCTTGAAATCAACTTCAAACCCCTTTATTTCTTTCTCCCACTTCTTCTTCGTCAAACTAGAGTCCCTTCTCCCACCTTCTTAATAACTCAATCTCCCTCTTCTAAACTCATTCTCTCTCTTTTTCTTCGTCAGGTTCAGTGAAAAATAAGTTGTACTGTTCTTCTGGTTGGGCTTTTGATCTTCTGTGCTTTTGTGTGTTGTGACTTAGGAGCTGTGAGGTTGCTGAAATTCTCGTTTGCTGCTACCATTCCTACTGTATGGTTGCTATACTATGATTTAGCAATTGTTTTTGGCACTTTTTTTACCATGGACTTTAATTCTTTTGGAATTTGCGTGGCTGAGTTTTAATTTTTGGTTTCAAGCTCTCTTTACTACTATTAGATGTGAAGTGAGACTCAGTTTGCTTGGCTTCTGCTTGGGCTGTTCACTAGACTTTGCTTTGAGTTATTTGGTATTGTTGTTACTTAGGGATATTTGTTGTTGACTATTTGTGATTAGTGGGCTGTTTGGTTTGCTTCTTTTCAGACTTAATAATTTGTTGGAGTTAGTCTTGGACTTCTTGTAGGTTTTGGATTACTTCTGATACAATTATAGGTAGTGGAAATTGTGATTCTCTTGTTGAGTTGAAATATAAATTTCATAATATAATTTATGTCAGGTTTGATTAATTTTCTTAAGAATTATGTAACCTTATGTACATGATATCTAGTTCCATCTATGAATGCAAGTAGCCATATAAGGTGTATTTAACATATTGTTTTTTGATCTTGTTTCTATTTTTGTGGTCAATATTGTTCTAGTTTGTTTTTTTATTTTTTTTATTAAATGTCATACTTATATTATGTGTTTCATTCACCACATAATGTCATTTCAATTAAAGTTTTTATTGTATGATACTATGATGGATGATTTGGGATTTAATACGACTAAGAATAGACCTCATATTGGCATGCAATTTGATGTAGAGGATGATACTTATGTGTTTTACAATAGTTATGGAGGGTCTTTGGGTTTTAGCGTGAGAAAAAATTTTCAGAATAAAAGTTTGAAAGATGACGTTGTCATTTACCAAAAGTATGTTTGTTGTAAACAAGGTCAAAGAGTTTGTGATAAGTGAGAGTGACAAATAAGGAAACCTCGAGCAGAGATGCAAACAAATTGTCAAGCTCATATGTGTATGTCTCTTAATAGAGAAATTGACAAATTTGTTGTGGTGAAATGGGATGACAACCACAACCATCCTTTGTACCTTGCTGAATGTATGCATATGATGTCATCCCAACAGAAGGTTATCGAAACACAAGACATTAATATTGATAAGACAGTGGATTGTGGAATATCACTTAAGGCTTCTTATAAACTTTTAAGTACTCAGTCAGGAGGAAAAGAAAGTCTTGGTTTTACTAGTTAAGATCAAAAGAATTACCTCCGTGAAAGGAGACAACGAGACTTGAGGTATGGTGAGGCAGATAGTTTGTTGAAGTATTTTCAAACGAAAACAGTGAGAAATGAGACAACGAGACTTGAGGTATGGTGAGGCGGATAGTTTGTTGAAGTATTTTCAAACGAAAATAGTGAAAAATCCATCATTCTATTATGGAGTACAATTGGATGCAGAGGAACATATTACTAATATTTTTTGGGCCGACCCAGTGATGATTATTGACTATGGCAATTTTGGAGATGTTGTCTCATTTAACATTACTTTCAGAACGAACAAGGAGTACCGACCCTTTGTTTGTTTTACTGGCTTTAATCATTTTAGGGAGACAATATTATTTGGAGCTGCATTATTGTATGATGAAACAACAACATTATTTCATTGGTTGTTTGAGACATTCCTACAAACTATGTTGGAGAAATATCTTATTACCATCTTCATCGACCAAGATCAAGTGATGACTAAGGCTATTTCTATAGTCATGCTAGAGACATACCATGAGTTATGTACTTGACACATTTGTCAAAATACTTTAAAACATTTGAGAAACATATATAAGGATGGTTCACATATTCTTGCTCGATTTAAAGAGTGTGTGTATGAATATGAAGAAGAGCATGAATTATTTATTTCTTGAGAATCGTTGCTTGCAGAGTATAATTTGCATGATAATATGTGCATAAAATCCACTTGGGCATTGCGAGAGAAATGGGGCATTCTATATGAAGAGGACTGTCATTACAGGAATGAGAATCACCCAATTGAGTGA